GAGAGCTGAGGAACAGGCTGCTGGTCTGCCATTAGCCAGCCCAGGCTTAAGGTTCCGAGGAACAGGCTGCTGGTCTGCCATTACCCAGCCAAGGCTTAAGGTTCTGAGGAACAGGCTGCTGGTCTGCCATTAGCCAGCCCAGGCTTAAGGTTCCGAGGAACAGGCTGCTGGTCTGCCATTACCCAGCCCAGGCTTAAGGTTCTGAGGAACAGGCTGCTGGTCTGCCATTAGCCAGCCCAGGCTTAAGGTTCCGAGGAACAGGCTGCTGGTCTGCCATTACCCAGCCCAGGCTTAAGGTTCCAGATCCACCGCTCAAAGCTTATGTGCTTACACCATGGCAGAGATGCAGATGTATCTTTGAAAAGATCTCCAACCTGAACCTGGCTCCATCAGCTGGGTCCGCCATTGGTTTTACACTGCGTATCTCCCACAGGTGCCGGGGCCGAGCGTGTTTCTGATGGAGGCCTCTCTGCCCCAGGGAGCCCTTCCAGACACCGTGATAGCACAGGTGTGCCAGTGGACGGACCTCGGACAACCGCCCACCACATTCCCAGTAACACCCAGCCTCTGATCTCTCTCACACACTTTTTCTCTTGTTTAGGACTACAGGACTAAACGATGGACAAAGAACGGTAAAAAAAAAAGACCAGGGGCATACTCTCCGCTGGGGGTAAGCAGGATCTGTGTGTGTGTGTGTGTGTGTGTGTGTGTGTGTGTGTGTATGCATGTGTGAGGCAGGGCGCAAGAAGCCTTCTAGGTGATTTTTTTTTTCCAGAGACCCTATCCAGAACTTGGGAACAAAACTCAGGATCAGCAGGATCAGAGCGTTCATAAAGAGCGGGGAAACGTCAAGTGAGTGGGGACACTCCGCAGTGCCGCCTCCCCTTGTGCCATGGACGACGTCTGAACCCACGCCCGTTATGAACAACAGATTCTACGACACAAAGCACAACACAGAACCGGATCTGAACTGTTTATTTCTGACCTCATGGGGGCTTAAACTCCAAACCAAAACCCCCAGAGTTAGTATGAAAAATGGCACAAAATCATATCACAAAACACTCAAATTAAACTCAGTAAGAACAGAAAAAAATTCGGAACAAACATTGCAAGCCCCATTTGTTTGGATAAAAAAAATATTTGGCCATTTTAGGCCCTTATTCCTATTAAATGCAAGACCTCTCGCATGCAGTAATGCAGAGTCTCCCTGGCACAGTGCATCTGTGTTTGCTGGGATTCGACATATACATCTCGTAAGCTGTAATTGTGCTGAGCTGTTAGCAATCTGTTCATTTACCGAGACAATGAACATCTTAGGCAAGTTACTCACTGCTATCTTGTATCATGCATGTGCCTCTTTTGAATAAATGGATGCCAGGTGTGGCAGAAGATTACACCGATGAGAACAATTTCATTTCGTCAGTGGTGAGCTTGGAGTCTATCCCAGGGAGACCAGGGCAGAAGAACGAGCTGGGTGGGATACCAGTCAACGACCGGGTGCACACACGTACAGGCGGGGAGGTGCCAAATCTCCTGAATCCATCTTTTTGGAGGAGTAACTGGAAGAGACCTATGGGACACATAAGTGCATAGCAGTATTGAACGTTTGGCTACCATTTTATTTCATATCAACAGTTTTCACCCAGGAAGAACACCCCCCCCCCCCTTAGCAAGTAGCATAGCATGCTAACACATGTGGCAGCCATCTACTGACATGATAAGCACCTACTTTGGTTTGAAGGTTCAAAATGTTGTGAATCGCAAATGCAGCAGAAGAGACAAACACAGTCACATTTCACTGGGGACTATTATTGTTAAAAGGAGCCAGACCTGGAGAGCATTGAGCTGGGGTATAAGCAGGATCATTTTTATGTGGGGTGGCCAGGAGAGGCTCACAGAAACTGTGAGCACATGAAGTGCGTTAACCGGGATGAGGGGAGAAAACACGTCACAGATCAGCTGTCTGGTTGATGCGCACCAGCTCCGGGCAGATTCCTGAAACATGGAGCTTCCATTACTGCTTTGTGCAATTCAGAGTCCCCCTGTGCACAGCCACACACACACACACACACACACACGCACAAACATTTCATTCTATGAGCAGAAAACCTTTCCCAGCTGGTAACACAAAAATATAGAATTATACACTGTACATATACTACCACTTAGGGTGCTTTTCCACCGCAACAGGTACCGTACCTTCGGTACTTTCAGTACTTACATAAAGTACCAAAAGTATGGTACTTCTTTTGTGTCGGTTTTCCACTGGCGTAAAAACTGGTACCAGCGGCAAATGACATCATCAGTGATTTGCAAGTCCCACCCCAAAGTACCAAAGAAGTACCCCAGCTGGTTTGGCACTTTCGGTACTGGTACTTGACCGGAAGTCAATGGAAAAGTGAAAGTACCGAAAGTACCATACCAAAAGTACCATACTTTGTGCGGTGGAAAAGCGCCCTTACACTCAGTGTGTTCTTAACGTTTCACTGTCTATTCATCCTGATTTATTTACAAAGAAAATAAGTGTATCCTTTGACTTCACCTGTGCTTGTTGCCTGTCTTGACCATGCTCCTACCACATGTCACCAGTAGGTGACACCACTGAGCCCATCTACTACTCTCAGAATCAGCAGGAGGGCTGAGCTGTGCATTCAGCTGCTGGACAAAGCTGAGAGTGTTTATGGAAACCTCATTCCACTCACCATTTAAAATACAGTGAAAATAAAGGGCATTTTTTAAACTGTACAGAATGTAAAGCTGATCAACTTACCTGCCTAATAGGATATGAACAAAATGACACTTATATTGATAAATAAATAGTAAATAAGTTCAATAAACTACTTATCCAGTAGAATCTACAATAAGGCAAAAGGCAGGGGGGGGCATCACAGGGCATTGTAGAGATACCAGTTCACCTAACTGCACAATGTAATCATTTAAATACAAAAGTCTATTTGTTGGGGGAATAAAGGAATCCAAATTAAATACTGGGGGGCACCCCCCCCCCCCCCATCCCCGGATCCTACACCCCCTACATCCAACGCAAGAAGAACATGCAAGCTCCAGACAAAGAGCAAGGCCTCAAACCCATGACCAGTGGTCCAGTTGTAAAAAACTTCCGAAGAAGTTGGAGGGCGTAACATCTGAGCAGGGGAAGGAGGGGCGGGGGGGGGTCCCAATGATAGAATTTGTACTGCCAGGATAGACAGTGTCCAAGTGCATCCTATCCCACCTGGATCCCGGCCCATGGCCCTAGAGGTCACACGCTGCCCGTTGAGTAATGAGCCACCTCTTTTGCAATCAGTCAGCATTTCCGCTCTGAAAATGCTAAAATAAACGCCATACATAATAGCTTATTACCTCTCCCTGGCTCATTATATTTGGTGAAACATTGATTCCAGAATGTGCATTAACAATCTCTGACTGGACCATCACATTTTCCAAGCGCTCCCCCCCCCGCCACCCAGAAGAACCGAACAGAGACGTGACATTAACTAGTGGGGGATAGCAAGGCCCGAACCCAAATAAGCACTCAGCTCGACCACAGAGACCTCCTTCATTAGGCCGTCGCGTTGTCAGGCACCGAGCCCCACTATCACATGCTTCATTACATAAGTATCCCAGGGACGTAGGCGTCAGCGGAAAAAGTCTGTCCAGTGTTCCGATCTGCGTCTGCAAGCTAAAAAATAACACATACTTTTAGTATTGTGATGAAAAGTGGCCGGGGATTAAGAGGCTCTGGATAATGATTTGCACTGTGGAAAAGCCGACACGTGGGTCCACGGCTGGAAGACAGACTCGGGCCTTCAGCCGACTTTCCGGATCCCCTGATCTGAGTCCCGCAGTAGCCACTCAAACAGAGCGTTTGGGGATCCTTCGTCGCTTCCAGATTTTTGAGCGACTGGCTTAACAAACAGGTTTTCTCTTCCAGGCTCGTCGACTGACAGCCACAACGTCGATGCGGCATTTCTGCTCAAATCAGGCGGCATTTTCTCCGACTGCTTCATTTTTCAGGCCCCACACCTACTGAGATTCATCCTTTAACCCAGATGCATGCTTGTGGGGGGGGGGGCGCAATGGCCGTAAATTCAGCGTACTCCTGCAGCCGCCCCCCCATACTAAAGTAAAAAAAGTGGAACATCAAAATGACACGAGACGTGAATGACGACCTGCTGGACCAAAGCTCTGTTTCTTTCAAGGATTAAGTCCCAGAGGAGCCTTTTTCCAAAACAACTTCAAACACATCGGACCCTGAAATTTTTGGATGGGCGTGACAATGTCATGTTTTTCTGTAATTTTCCAGCTGTTTCATTAAAAGATATTTACCACCAAATTCCAAATTTGACGGCGCTTTTTTAACTTGGTTTATTTATTGCTTACTTTTGTTTGTGGAGACATGGTGGCTCAATGTGCAGCACAGAGGGGGGGCGGGGGGGGACTCCTGCCAACTCTGGGAATGATATACACCCCCCTCGTGCTCACGGGAGTTTTCTGAATCTACATTCAAGTGAGGGAAGGATGGGGTGCAAGAGAAGATCCTCGCTGAAGGCCTCAGCGTGTCCTCTGCCAGCCCTGGGATTCAAACCCATTCCGTTTGGATGTCTGTGAGTTTCCCTCTGTGAAGATGCTCTGTGATGGGCTTTCAGCCACTGTGATTCCTGGGACATGCTCACTGGAATCCCATATTAGATAATGGATGCATGTTTATAATCGGGCATTGGGGTCTGGAGAAAGTTTATGTTTGAGGGCAAATAAATCATATCTTAACTCGTGTTATTGTGCATTTACTGCTAATTTTACGGCAAAAATAACCCAAAACCACAATAGTGCACATTTTGAGGACAGGGTGGTGCACTGTTTACAGTGCCTGCACAGCTATTAAACGAGAATGTGCCCCAATTCACAAACTTAGAAGTCTGAACACAAGTGCAGAGCATCTGTTTATCCGAGAAGCTAAAGGCTAGTTCCATTATAAACATCTGCAAATGCACTGCGGCCGCTGGAACCAAACACATCAGATAAATGTCTTCTTGAGGCTGACACCTCCCCATCCCTGTTAGAGGGACTGTCCTGGACCCTGGGGGGTCCAGGACATCACAGTCATCAGGTCTGTTCAGCGTGTTTACAGAGAGCGGAAATTCAACCGCTGATCCATCATCTGAGGCCTTTTTCCACACCTGCCACCAAACATCCAGAGACTATGTCTGTGACCGATCTGTTCGTCCTTATGACTAAATCGACAACAGGGGTGAATCTCAATAGCAAGAACGCAGAGACCGTCCTCGTGGTCTTGGCGAGACCGGTCTCGCTAACTTGCCTCCCAAGAATGAACTTGGGGCGCAATGAATTATGGGATTGGTCGCGTTTGGCAAGGATGGAACCGATGTATCCATGATATTAGGGGCAGGACAAGAACGACATCCGGGGATTTTTACCGTTGTCATGTACTTCTGTTCTTAGTATTGGAACTGGTCTTCTGCAATGGAAAACGCAAACGGGTACATGAGAACACAAGTTCAAGCATATTGAGGAACACCCCAGGAAAGTGTTTTTCTCACTTTTGGCAAGGCAGATAAATCGACTGTCCAAGTTTACCACTCCCATGTCAAACTCTAATCTGCCCTTTTCCACCAGGTTTCTGTGGAAAGTAATTTCCAGAATCATGCTAAACAACTAGGTTGTGCTTGATGTCTGCTGACAGGATAATGCAGCAGATCATTTCGAAAGTGTTCCTCATTGCCTTATGCAACTAGTTTGTATTTTGTGACTCACTATTTTCATCCAATATTTTTGTAATGCTTGGGTTAACATCTACATTTATGCATTCAGAAAATGCTTTTATCCAAAACTACAATAGAGAAAGCAGGGTGAACCAGTCCCTGAAGAAACTAGGGGTTAAGGACCTTGCTCAAGGGCCCGATGATGAAATCACTCCCAAGCCCATGCCATTTCAACCAGGAACCTTCTGATGATAGGCAGACGGCTGACATTTTCTGGCTGACGGAGGCTCTGGGTATAGAAGTGGTGGAGTTCAGCTCTGGGTATAGAAGTGGTGGAGTTCAGCTCTGGGTAGAGAAGTGGTGGAGTTCATACAGCTTGCAAGTTCTCCTTGTGTTCTGAAGGTTCCCACCAGGTACTTTGGTTCTCCTCCTACAGTCCCGAAACATGTCCTGCGTGCCCTGTGACTGGCATCACCTGCAGGGTGCCACCTCCCAAACATCCCGGGCGGGGCTCCACTGCGACGCTGCACTGCGACCTGCACTGCATAGGCACTTACGGCGGCCAGGTGGATGCATGGATTACTGATTTGCACAGGAAACCGGGGCCCCTCTCGAGTCCAGATGCTCTTGTGCACATCTTACCTCATGCTTGTGATTTACACGGATGGAGGATTCATGACCTGTTCACCCCGTGATCAGCGGCACCTGCGCTGACTGACCTTTGATACTGATAAACCACATTATTGGCTGAGCTCCTTGAAATCCTGAGCTCCCTGAAATCCTTTTCTGTTCAAACAAATGGGGGGGGGGGATGACACAGCCTGTGTAACACCCTGTTTATATGCTTAGGGACATGTAAGCATTTTTGACTTTCATCCATTGATATAGCTGCTGACTGACGCTTCATACAAAACAAGCTCTTGAATCTAAAAGCAGGCGTATATTCGCTGTCAGCTTCCTCCTGCTCGTTTGGCCATTACTGAAGGCCCGCTCACACTACGTCCGGCATCTCTTCCTGACGGGACGCGTCCCCAAAGCCTTCCGGTGTCCTGAGCTATCTGGCTTCTCTATCATCTTCAGCTTTTCCAGAAAGCTGGTCTCTCACTGCACATGCGGACCTTAAAAATAAAAAAAAGCATCTGAGCTACCAAAACAGAAAAAAGGATGCAAAAAAAAAAAAAAACGTTCTGTCAGTAGCCAGATCCCAATGTATTATATTCAGTTTTTCTTTGTGACGCACTAATATTGCTTGACCGTGAAACAACAGATCTTTCAATAAATTTTCTTTCTGTTATCTCCAGTATTTCTGTACGGCGGGCAATGTAGGCAACGGGATTTGTCTCTGTGCCAAAGCATCTGGCTGAGGACTACGTGTGGTTATTAAACGGTGCAGAGAGAGGAGCCCGGGAATTCTCCATGACACGTGTATAGGACGCGCCCCTAATCGTGGTGTGGAGGGGAAAAAACACAAATGCGTCACAGGATGTCAAGTACAGGCGCGTAAACGATTTTTATGTCAAGCTCTTTATTTTTACATGCAAATATGAAGCGCAGAATTAATACAAAATGCTTGACGGAATGCGTGCAGTGTAAGGGAAAAAAAACACGCGATTTATGGGATTCTCTTAAATGGGCAGCTGTTGACTAGAGGGAATAGCTTCCCAATGTAGATGGTAGATTTAGATGTTTGGAATAAAAAGCGATTATAAGGTTTCAATGAGACGCGCAAATTGTTTTAAAATGCAGCAGCAATAAAATTATATAACCCCTACCCCGTCCTACTCCCTCAGAAAAAAGGATAAAAAAAATGTACCTTTGCTTGTCACTGGGGCTGTACCCTTGTAATTGTACCGTTTAAGATGAATGGACTCTGAGGAACATACCAAAGGTACAAAACGTCAATGGTACAAAAAAGTCCAAAGGGGGGCGCCCGGCCCACAAACGGCACCTCCCGCACCCCCTTGAAGGTCAAGTTAATTTTATTTAATTTTATTTTCTATGTAGTGCCACATCACGACAGAAGTCATTTAAGGTTACCTTTCCTATAGAACAGGTCTACACATTGTCCTTTTAGTAAACAAACTAAATAGCCTTATGATATTTACACAACAGCTTGTCATTTTTGTCTCTACACGGTCGCGCGTTTACAATTCTCCTCTGCTCTCCGTATCACGCGTGGCGGAGTTCCGACCCGATGCGCGCACACAGACACGTGCGCGCACACACAGGTGAGCACGCTCCCACCAGCGGACAGAGAGCACGCGTCGCGTCAACCACCGGAAAAGCAGACAAAAATATCTACGTTTTTTTTTTTTACTGCTGTCATTAAAAGAAACACATGAACACCATGAATCCTGTCGGTGTCTATCTGCCCCCCTCCCCCCCAAAAAAAACTGTAAACCTGGGGTAAACACTGAAATTTTTACCCTTTTTTCTGGGTGTAACTGTAAATATGAGTAACCAAACAAAATACAAGCCTACTGCCATTTTTTATAAAATTATCATTGTGGGGACAGAACAAAAATTGTCCCCACGGGATAAAAAGTTCTAGTTCTTTTTTAAATCACATTCTGTGGTAGTCTGGTCCCCACAATGTAATAACTGCACGCACACAAACACCTTAAACCGCATTTATAAGCGTGTCGTGCTTAGCCGTAATAGAAACAGTAGGCTTACACAAACAGTACAAACAACTGCCTGGTGATTCACTGCAAAGCCTTCAGGCATATGTTAGTGTGAGGGCAGCCCACGAAATGAGTGAGCTGTCTTGAGACAGTAAAAAATACCAATCAGTTGGCTGAGACAGTCCGGCTTTGCCGATTATCACCAAACCTGCCAAACAGCATTTCAACAGGCACTGTATATTTCACAGAATACACGCAAAACACTTGATGAGTATGTAAACCTCGCGTAAACTATCCCAAGCCACAGTAACATTAGCCTTACTGATCGCTGTTTGTTTTACAGGGGTGTTTTACGTATTAAGGGAAAAGTGAATATGCTTACTCGAGTCCTGGTTTGTTTAGCAAGCCACAGGCGTTGTTAATATTGTGTAAATCAAAAGCCAGATTTCAGCAGCCCACGAGGGATGAGACCCTTCTGACATACAGTCCGCGAGTTCACCTTGCATTCACTAAGCTAAATAACACTATGGGGCGTGCTGCGCAATGCAAGGGCACCTGCTGGCATGCTTTCATTTACAGGTATCCTGTGTTTACTTAAAAAGTAAGTTTGTTGTCGAAGTACACTACCCCAAAACAGTAGCTTACATAGTGAATCTGCGCTGAATCCTCGTCTCTCTGACCGTATGAATGATCGCCGAATGTAACTTGATCCTTGTATGGGGCGACCAAACCTACGCAGTCTCCACGCAAACAGATTAAATCTGCGCTCTACCTCAGGTACTGCCTCATTTTATTCCAAGAAACATTTAATTTTAATACACAGCGACTGGGAGAAAACGAAGCGTTATTCCGCGAGAAGCTGTAGGTAATGTATGATTTGCCACAATTATGATTATATATATCACTGACGTTTAAACCACAGTTTAAGATGATTATTTGTGTGTTCATGTTTATCTTTTAGTTACTGAAGTAGTGTGTGACAGGGAGATTTCTTTATAAAGTCATTTTTATAAAGTAATATTGTAATGACCCATCGTGTCGTTTTTGAAATTGAGTTTAAACGGTACAGTAACAGCTAGTTTCCTACGTAGCGCAGAATAAAATCTGACACCCACGACGGAATGCAAAATTTGTATTTTGCGGTGCTTTTCTGATATGTCTGGATAGATATAAAACGGCTGCATTTTGACTGATAATAAATATCTGGAGGTGGAAGGTAGAGAGATATTCATGTATATAACGGTCGATTTTCAGTCCCCGAATAAAATATTTCTGAGTCCTGATTTCCAATTTCGAGGAGATAATTAGTAGCCATAAAATGACATAAAATTTCGCCAAGTGAAAAGCTTGCTTTGAATAAAAATTTCCACTATTCACGAAATTTCCAAATTTTGTAATTTCATTTCCAATATAACCAAATGAAATATCCACGACGTGTCGTTTTCTTTCATTTTCGATCACGGAAATCGCTAATCAGTTCATATAATTTTCTTATAAATTATGCAGAATAACAGGAAAAGTCCTCAGTTGGCGTGATCCCCTAATTCGGGAACAAAGCGCGGGAAGGGCAGTGATCAGCAGGCTGTAGGCGACCTGCAACCAAGAAACTAGGCGTTTTTAGGCATATGGCAGATGTATCTTTCTGCGAAAGTGTCAGTTAAACCATTGTCGATACCAACGTATACGCTAGACTGCGTTGGACCGGCTGGGAAATATTCTGCGCGTCTGATTAGATAACAGCTGCCCAGAGGTTAATCTGTGCTAAGTAGGACCAGACCCACCCAATACAAGCCCCTAAATAGTATATTCTGCATTTTGTGTTATTCTTTAATATTGCATAATATATATGCACCTTAAGCAAAACAAGCAAGCATCCTCTTATAACCCATTGCACTTCAGCGTTCCTTGTCGGGACACCTCTTGCGCCCTGTGTCTGATTTGCTGGCAGACAATTACTCTGCTCTCAGTAGCGGGACGCTGATTTGCAAGGAGGATGACAGCAGCTCGATTTTACAAACTCTGTTTACTGCGCGTTTTGCTTCTTAATTCCTTGCTGAAATTAGGGAAAAGTCAAAGTAGGATAAACGTTAGTCTGATAATATGGACTAAATGCTACCTGGCAGACTCCGATCTCCAGCGCTGCAATCTGGGATCACGATCCCGGGCACGTACATCTGGTGTCCAAGAATGTTAGCGATGCTTACAATTTCCTCCCACCCGACGAGTTTGCCATGCCGTTATAATCTCTTCAGAACGTTGCCAAGTAAGTAAGTACATCCGTTTGGAGACTTTCAACAAGCAATAAAATTAGCCTGGTGTTAAATGAACTGTAACATATATTCATCGCATCATGCGCGTCATCCATGTGGCTGCTACACCGTGGTAGCCGAAGTGGTTTTCCGCAGTGTTTCTGTAAAGTGCTTTGTATGTCTTGAAAAGCGTTATATAAATGTAACATTCATTCATTCATATTGACCTGCGTTAGTCATGAATGTTGTCAGTATGCCTTGCTAACACCAAATAAATCTTTTCAGAACAAAAAATACAGTTTTTGTTCGTGACTAAGATGACGCCGTTGTCATGGATACCTGATCGTTACGGATTGCTTACATCACAGTTTGAGATTTAACAGGATTGCTGTTATATAAGAACCTGAGCAATGTAGATATTGCAGTCAGATGTTTCTGCTCACACTGTCTGTTTCTCTCTAAGCTACAGGATCACCATGGTGGACTATGAATACTATGACCATGACAATGGCAGCGACAATTTCAGCTATGAGGACTATCACACAGTGTGCGTGAAGGAGGATGTGCGTTCCTTTGCCAGAGTCTTCCTGCCCGTCATTTATTCTCTAGCGCTGGTGGTCGGGCTGGCAGGAAACGCAGCGGTGGTGGCCATCTACGCGTACTACAAGAAGCTGAAGACCATGACAGACGTGTTTATCCTGAACCTGGCGGTGGCTGACCTCCTGCTGCTGTTCACGCTGCCCTTCTGGGCGGCCAATGCCGTGGTTGGCTGGGAGCTGGGCGTGGCCATGTGCAAAGTCACCTCGTCCCTCTACGTCACCAACTTCAGCTGCGGCATGCTCTTTCTGGCCTGCATCAGCGTGGACCGCTACCTGGCTATCTTCCACAGCAGTCCTGGCCGCACCCTTCAACGACGGACCTACCTTAGGGTGTGCTTGGGGGTGTGGGCCCTGGCATTCATCCTGGGCATCCCGGATGTGGTCCTCTCTACAGTCCGGCATATGCCCAGCAGAAAGGTCTGCATGCCTGTCTACCCACCAAGCATGGCCCAGTCCACCAAAGCCTCCTTGGAGATTCTGGAAGTCCTCCTCAGCTTTCTCCTGCCCTTCCTAGTCATGGTGCTATGCTACACCCGGGTGGTCATGGCCCTGCTTAGGACCCCAGAAGCACGCTTGGGGAAGAAGTGGAGGGCCTTCAAGGTGCTCCTGGCAGTAGTGGGGGCCTTCATCATCACCCAGCTGCCGTACAACGCTGTCAAATTCTGCCGAGCCATGGATGTCATCTATTCCTTGGTGGTCCACTGCGAGACGAGCAAGAGGCTGGACCGAGCCATGCAGGTAACTGAGGGCCTGGCGCTGACACACAGCTGTCTGAACCCCGTGCTCTATGCCTTCGTTGGAGCCTCCTTCAGCCAGCACCTCCTGCGGTTCGTCAAGGGCTTTGGCGAGCGCAGAAGGAGGAGGCAGCAGGAGCAGGAACCAGCACCTGTTGAGATCTCGCTAAACTCCCATAGCACTTCTGAGGACACCAGCACCTTCTCCATCTGAGGCAGAGCAGATGAAGCTTCTACAGGTGCTTCCAGCACATCGCTTACCACTGTGCACCTTGACCCATGAAAATGTACCACCTGTTATATAGCTTGATATCATTTCTGTTTACATTCTTATATATTGTTTACATTCTTATTTTCTAATATAAATCACAAAAATGTCAGTAATTGAATGTGGACAGCGGCAGGGACAGACACGGGAAATGTGGACAGCGGCAGGGACAGACACGGGAAATGTGGACAGCGGCAGGGACAGACATGGGAAATGTGGACAGCGGCAGGGACAGACATGGGAAATGTGGACAGCGGCAGGGACAGACACGGGAAATGTGGACAGCAGCAGGGACAGACAAGGGAAATGTGGACAGCAGCAGGGACAGACACGGGGAATGTGGACAGGGGCAGGGACAGGGAATGTGGACAGGGGCAGGGAATGTGGACAGCGGTGGGGACAGACACCAGAAATGTGGACAGCAGCAGGGACAGACACGGGAAATGTGGACAGCAGCAGGGACAGACAAGGGAAATGTGGACAGTGGCGGGGACAGACACGGGGAATGTGGACAGGGACAGGGAATGTGGACAGGGGCAGGGACAGACACGGGAAATGTGGACAGCGGTGGGGACAGACACCAGAAATGTGGACAGCGGTGGGGACAGACACCGGAAACAGAGGCCCTGTTTACACTCGGTTTTAAAATGAGTCTTGGGTATTCAGATCAAAAGGGAATGGCTGAGACACATCAGCATTTATACCTGTGTCTATCATGCATGTCCAAGGTGTCCAGCTGATCACTAGTGGTCAGATTTATTTACTGCCTGCATTACTTCCACTAAAAGGTCAAATGGCCTAGGGATGCACCAATACCGGCATCGAGTATTGGGCCAATACTGCGCTCATATACTCGTACTCATAAAAATTCATAGATACCAAGAACCGATACCACTTAATTACAAAATTATGTTGAAACAGAAAGCCGCTGCGTTTTGTCTTTTTTTTTTTTTTGCCGTCCAATCAGATTTCAGAACCTAGTGAGAGATTTGTCAACCCACAAACATTTGGGAAGCCTAAATGCGGAGAATATCAGCAGAGGATGTCAGCAGTTAGGACGTATATTAAGATAAGGGACGACGACAGAAGTAAAGCAGCCTTTAAGCTCTGTTCTGCTAAAGTCCCAAGAGGAGGAATGGACAGCACATCATTTAACAGAAGACATTTTATCCAATATCTAAAGACGCAAGATAGTGCAGAGAGTTTGCCAATGCTAGCACAGAAAGAACGCAACAACAAACTTCACCGCAAATTTTGGAGAAACTAGAGAAAATGTTGAGATAACCCACAAGCAGTAAAAATAAGAGGCTTTTATTCACTACATTGCTGAGTAGGTCCTGTCGCACAGCTGGATACATACCTCGAAGCAGAGGCATCGGCTTCATGTTAACATTGGGAGGTCGGGTATATTGGGATCAGAGGTATGACATCATATCGCGTTCTAGGGTGGTTCTTTAGTCGTGCTGTATACAGTTTTTATACATAGAATTTTATACACATATATACAGAAGATATGTTATTTTTATTTGTAAACTATTGCTGTTATAGTTACAATATATAAAGTGAAATATATTTTTGCTGTTATTCATCTTCACTAATATGGTCATTAAAGTGTGTTAATGCCCTGCAGTATGTATGCTGAATTTGCAGGAATTAGTAATGCTACGCACAAATCACGAGATTCTGCCACCCATGTCGGGCCCTGCACTGTGGAAACACGATCCCAACCTCTGGGTGGCGTTATTGTGACATGCTTGTCGGGGACGCATCAGGACACAGTAGTGTTTACAAAAGATATGTGGTCAAATGTAAGGCTATGACTATGGATTATTTCACAAAGTGGTGCGTGGCAACAGCGCTACCCACTGCATTACTGTTCTGCCCTGACAGGCTTGCAAGATGTTAACATTGACATAACATGTCAAACGTCGCAGGCTTATCAACCAATCAGATGTCTTGGTCCCGCCTCTTCTAGTCGCTTGGATGCACCACCTCTGAACTCTGATTGGTTATCTCTCCAAAGTAATCATTTTTCCTTCAGCCATCAGAACATTTTTGTGCAAGTAAAACTCCCGCAAGTTTTTTGTAACCCTTAGTCGAGAGGAGTGGGATCCATTAAAGGTTTGTGAATCCAGCAAAATCAACCCACTGATAACCTCTCAACTCTGACCTTTAATTCAGTGCCTTGTGTCATGCTAATGATTCATCATCCACCAAACGAGAAAAAATAAAAAGAAAACGTTTTCTGCGTCGCACATCTCCTGCATACCATTGTCAACTCGAATATAAAACAGTATCTCTGAGATGCCACATAGGTTTAAAGTGCTGACATCCATTTAGGGTTAAGGTACTGAAATTGGTGAAAGAATCTCAATGAACCATCTGGATATTAGAACATTTGGAGATCATCAGTGTTTTATAGGAGGTGGAGATGCCATTTCTAGGGTGGGGGGCGTGATCCAGACATAACGCAGATGGAACACGAGAGCCCTCTGGGTGCGGTCTCACCTCACCTCCCAGATTCCAGCTAGTCTTTTCTGGCTCATGAAAATTATTAGGAGCAGCTGGTACCGATTTGAACTGGAGAAGCCTAAATTGGCTGCCCTATGCCCTGCAACAACTGGATGAATGCTGGAAAAGGGAACCATGAAGGCTGAGAGAAGAGATGCATGCAACTGTGTCCGAGAGGTGATTTGTGGCACGATTCTGGAAGGTGCCTCAGTAAACAAGGCCCAGGGCAGGAAACACAGTTACACCCTTTTTATGGATGGACAGGATGTTTGTGACATTTTCAAGATGAAGTTGAAATGAAACGAAGATAAAGAACGTGCGCGAGCGGTCCCTCTATGTGGCGATCAGATTTGCGGTCGCATGGTCACCCTAACGACCATTTCTCGGTAACGTGTAAACGTGTAAACAGGACACATTGCACACGCACAGTAAATCATTGTCTGCCAGACAAGTGACTCACTAATTCTGATGTGTTGAAACTGAAACCACAGAGACACATCCTGTATGGAGAGGCGTTCACACATAAATCGGAAGCCTGCGGAATCCCTCCCTGTGTCAGATCAGTCTTGGGGTTTTGCTTACGGTCACTGCTGGGGTAAATGTCCTAATATTAGAAGCAACCAGCTTACTGAGAGCAGACGCTGGTTTTTCAGGCTAAGACGCTGGTCAGTATAGGCAGAGTAAAATCAGATGAAAGTGTTTTGCAGTCCTTTCCCATAATGCATTGTTACAGTGAACTCCCAAACATCCACATCTACTGTTTTTTTTTTTTTGCAGATCATTTAAATTCACTTAAATGGATCCACTTAAATCCACTATGAACACAGCTGTGTCCATAATAGTACTAAACAATAAACATATACAGTACTGTGCAAAAGTCTGAGCAGAAAATACTTAAGGCTATTTCTCTAGATCGTAAATGTATATTTGCTAAGAAAAAACAAACGATTTAACATTAGAACATATGCAAATCATCCCTTCTCCAATCAGTCACTGAAGTCATGTTGGACGGCTAGATGAACACCGCTTCAGCTCCCAAACCTCTCCTCCGGGGCACCTCAGCCATACTATGGATTCCTTAAATTTCACCACCGGCTCAATTAATTCATTGAGTTCATTCATTAAACAACTCAATGAGGTATTGATTAGCCAATAGAGGTCTCTGCAGAGATTTTGGGAGAGGTTTTGTATTGACTAAGTAGACACACTTTGACAGACATATCATAGTTTTACAGCAACATGCACATTACACTGACAAGATCATTTTAACATCATTTTTTGACGGCCTAAGACTTTTGCACAGTACTATAAATAAATACATAGTCATCTATCCTCTATCACAGCTTATCCAGTATAAGGTCAAGCTGACCCTCTTGGGAAGCATAAGGCGGAAGACCTTGGACAGGATGCTGGTCCAATGCAGGACGTACACGCACTATGGGAAATGCAGAGACACCAGTTCAAGTAAATGCACGCTTTGGCAGGAAACCCAGACGATCAAGGACAGAACATGCAGAATGCACAACAAAGCAGGGGGCAAAAATGGCAAAAACGTCACATTAATGAAGGTACAAAGAAAGTCTACAAATGAAAATGAGAAAACCAGGCTCTTCTGAGCCAGGGCAGGGTGTGAGTAAGCAGGCATTTAAGTCAGTGTTTTTTAAGTCAGTGTTTCTCAAACCAGTCCTCGGGGCATCATGTTTATTAAGTCCAGGCCGGACCTCAGGTAGCTCACCATTCAGCCCGCTGCTTAAACCAAAGGACCCCAGAAACACCTCCAGCTATTTAGAGGGGTCGCTCAATCAGAGTACTGTCAACTAAATATAAATATAAGGCGCTTTACCACTGCAAGAATGTTTTTCAGGAACCAGGAACCTTTGTTGTGTTCCCACCGCAGGAACTTGGCCTGGTTGTAGATCCTAGGAGGTAGTTCCTGAACCTTATTTTTTAGTCCCTACTCCAGAGTAAGTATTTTTCGCTCAACCAAAGACTACTGGGTGGGGCTTATAAACTTTGCTGATTGGTTGACCCCAAGCAATTTGGAAGTTACGCATAGAATAATGGAGCAAAAAATGAGCAGATTTATCAGGTTTATCAGAATTTATCTGGTTCTCAGTTACATTTAAAGCATCAGCAAATACCTGTTTTGCTGTTTTGTTTCATTATTTCTGCATCAGAAAATTCAATCAATAACGATCATTCATCTGTCTAATATTACTAGTGCCGGTGGAGGAACTTGCCAATGGTAAATAGCGGAATAACATTACATTGCAAAGATCAACCTGCTGGCCAGATTTAATAATGAATTATGAACATGTCGCAGGCAGTATAAATAAAATATTAATAAAATACAGTCTACCCCCCCCAATAACTAAGAAACCCACTGGCTCATCCTATTTTGGAGTAGCGGTGTAGTGTTGAATGAATTTACATGTAAAGTTTAACCTACAAGTCTATGTTTGTCTGCCATGCTAATTTAGCATAAAAGTCATGGTTCTTGTTGTGCAGTGGGAAAGCAACGAAGTGCTCAGGAACTACAAAGGGATCAGGTTCCGCAACTACGGTGGGAAAGCACCTATAGACTCTTTTTCATTCTGAAATTGACAGATCAGGGAAGCCAAAAGCCCGGACAAAGGTTACACCCATTAACCGACAACAATAAGGGAAGTTTTTTTTAATTAATGTCAGCGTTATGGTGGGTCTGGGGGAAACGAACGTCTGCAACTGGAGCAATGTGGTTTCCAGAAGCGTCAGTCAGCTTTACTAGCAAAAACCACCACATGCACTTCCTCTATCGTGCTTGTGGCAGCTTAGTCATAGATGCACATGAAGTGTATGTGCTGTCACACTGGCCATTACCGAGAGAAGCAGAAAAATCAGGGCTGCACCAGGGGTAAAGAGTGTCTCTATCAAACCAATGGACCTTCATGAAACTCATGATGGGGGTTCTATGGAGGCATGACAGAATGCAAACAGGATGACTGGCTTCAGGCCAAGCAAAGCACTCCAACTGACGCCCCAACCCCCCCTCACAAAGACCACACCTCAAACCTTCAAATGAAGGTCTCTGGGAATTGAGTTCAATTCGGGCCAGCTGAGTTTCATTACAGAGCCGCAATCTGACGATCGGTCACCATGGAAGCGTGATTGGCCGACAACGCCGTCTCCCATTGGCATCTGAGTGGCTCAGACAATAGCTTTTGGTCTTGGGGCCCCAACCCATGCTAAGGAGACACAGGGCCAGAGATGTTTATCCAAGACGTAATATAATATGCAGGCTGGAGGTTTTTCGGAATGAAAAGGGGCACCCCCACAAACCCCCCACACATAAATCATTCAGTGCCCCCCCATAGTGTGCCTCAGTGCGTAAGAAAACCTAACCCTACCTCCACTCAAAAACCGGTAAAACCTTGTTTTAGTTTAAAACAAACCTTTTGTTTGAATAAAGGTGACCCAGGGTGGCAGAGTGGCCTCGCGCTTCCAGGGTTGTAGGTTCGACTCCCACCAGCTCTGTGTGGGTAAAGCTTCCATTAACTTCCTATGTTTTTGTGGGTTTCCTTTTGTGGTCTGAAAGAACATGAGTGACTGGAATTGCGTCCCTTAGCATGAGCGTATGAGTGTGTACTCTGTGATGGACTGGCATCTCATCCTTTCTTGAGTCCTGAGCATCCAGGGATAGGCTCCAAGCCCCTCGTGACTATAACTGGATAACAGCAATGGAAGATGGATGGTCTTCCAGTAGATATCTGCCGTTATCTGGTATAATTCAGCTCCCCAAGCCTCCCCGCGGGAGCTGGATTAGGGTGTGGACCATGTCACCCTGAGATGGGCATTTACTCTCTGAAACACTCTTTTCCAGGGTCTGGGATGATAGCGTTATCTGGGACCTTGTCATGTGACCTGGGCTGTCACCCAGCTCACTGCGAATAGGTGCTATTAAACTACAAAGCACTGAATGGCCTTGCACCAGAATACCTTAATGATCTGCTGACCTCATACAACCCCCCGCGCTTGCTTCGTTCTCAAGGCGCAGGATATCTGTTAGTACCCAGGGTAGAAAGAGCTACGGCAGGCTGCAGAGCTTTCTCCTACAGAGCTCCTCAGCTGTGGAATGGTCTTCCACCGGATGTGCGGATTTCAGGCTCACTCTCAATATTCAAGTCTAGACTAAAAACACACCTATTTAGTTTAGCTTATAAGGACACTAGTTCTAGCTCTAGCTAGCTTCTCACTCCCAGTTAAACCTATAGTGTGAGGTGTAGAGCTGGGTGGGGATCGGTGCCATTGGCTTTGGATAAACTGAATTGACAGTGCTGTCACTCTAGCTTCACAATTGCTTGTGGGATTGGAGTGCTGCCGTTTCAGGGCCTCCCCATGCCTGCATTCCCCCCTGCCTCTCCCTCCTACTTATGCTGCCATAGCCATATCGGCCGGAGCATTGCACTTCATATTGCACTCAT